TCGGAGCAGTTAGTCAATCCGAAATATGTCATTATTGTCAAAATTATCAAATGTCGTGTCAACACTGTCAACGTTAACTGTCAACAGTGTCAACTTTAAGGTCAAACGTCAACTTCAAGCTTACGGCCAACGGATTTTTGGATCTAATCTGGCATTTTTGCTTTGCATTTTGCAATTTAATTTATATGTGATAAACAATAATAAATATAAATCAAAATATAAAAAAAAATATGTGATGTGTGATGTGTCCATTCCATTTACAGGCGGTAATTTAATATAAAAATGTTATTTAAGGAGTCTGGGGTAGTTTTTTACGTCAATGATCTTCCACAAAACATAATTTATTTAAAAAATAACCTAAAAACTGGTAAACTCACTAATTATTATGACTATCGAAAACTATCGATAATAATCGATGGTCAAAGGACCGACTATCGATAATTATCGATGGTGGGGACTATCGATAGTTCTCGACCACTACCTTGGCTGCTATTTATCTACCTTAATAAATACACTTCTGTAATCAGAAGTGTATTTCTTTTTTGGTAATGATTAGCAAAAAGTCGTATGGAAAAAAGTTTACACACAACCAAATTTATATGGAATCATCTATTATTTTTCATAATTTTTGAGACGTATGAACTTTTTGTGTTTGTGAATAAAACTCCAACTCCTTACCAATGACTTTTAATGAAAAATAATCCATATAGCAATCAAAAAAATAACCAGTTCCCAAAACAAACACAATGGTATTTTTTTGGTTTCTGAAACAAAATAAGATTTAAATTTTTAATGGTAAAAAATTGTTGTCCCTGTTGCCACCTCTAACCCTTATGCAAGTTTCTATCCGCGCTGGCATGCTTCTTATTAAATTATCAACGTTGTCTTGGGGTATGTTTTCCCATTCTGCTAATGCTGCATCAATAAGCTGTGCGAGATTTCCTTGATTATTTTAACGAGCTCTAACCCGTCTTTTAAGCTGGTCCCACACGTGTTCGATAGAGTTTAGATCTGGTGAACACTCAGGCCAGTCCAAAACTATGACACCTTCCGTTTCAAGATATTCTCTATACTCTGTTTTTTTTCTCAGGTAAGATTTCGACAGACGATGACAGAAGAAAAGCAGATGACGTCCCATACCAATCTATTTATTTTACTAAAAAAAGTTTCTAATAATTTTTAAGTTATCTATGGATGGGTTTAAATATAAATCCGTCATACGTTGTGTCTTGTTGTTTTTAACCAGTTTTATTGGTTTATTTAAAAAATGACAGATCGTATTTCAATTTTATTGGTTTGACGGAACGATGAACGATAAACGGACGCCGATGCGTATGAACTCGCCTTTAGATTTTTGTCATTTTTGACGCTTGTCAAAGTCTTGCCAAATTATTGGTTATAATTTTGTGTCAACTTTTGTTAAATACCCTGCATTTTGAAAGATGATGCATTTTGATTCGTATTATTACGTGTGTTTTGTGTCTTTTGAAGTCAAGTGGAGGAAAAATCGAGTGAAAATTAACTGTAGGCCCAGAGCACAGTTTATGGTTAATACACGCTGCCCAGGCAGAAAGTCTTATACACCAATGAAGTTGCCATCGATAAAGTTTGTATACCATTTCGTCGTAGATAAGTGCATTTCGTATATAAGGATCAAACTAAACACATACTAAAAACTGGAGTAGCTGTAAAATATCGACATCACACGATAGGTAAATAATGGATTTTAGTACTGGTGCAGAAAAATAATGTCAAAAGGTACTGGTTTAAAAAAATTAAGATTAAAGGTAATTAATCCACCTTTAAGGTATAAAATTTGGTAGGTGTTATTATTAATAAAATAGTTGTTGTATTTACCTATGTTGTTTTATTTATACCTGTGGAATATTACAAATTTGTATTTGTACATAAGTTATATTGATAAATATAATCATAAATGCGGGTAGTTTCATAAAGCTTGAAAGTAAATAATAGTTATTTTTTATATTTTTTTGGTATGTAGTGCCTTGTTCTTGTTTGTTTTGTATTAACACATACCGTTTTTATTAAATAAAATAACTCGATTACATTTTTTCAGTTTTATACAATTTTGAAGTAATCACTTGTCATCTTGTCAATCAAATTTTAAATATTTCCTGCTATGCGTTCCAGTTGTACCAACTTATTTCTTTGTAAAATAAAATAAACTACTTTGAAATTAAAATGACAGACACATCTATCACTGTCAAGGATCTTCTCGTTGGACAGACTATAGTCACTCTGCTGGTATGGAGAGGTGCACTATCGCGCATGAAGTTAAAATTATCCCCAATTGCAGCTCTCCAAAGACTAACGATTGGTTCTAGCACTAAATCAACATACCTCCGATCCGTTAAAATTTGTTGAAGCAACAATGGAGTTTTTGCTCCCAGCATAATCAGCTCTCCAGAACATTACAGTTCTTGGTACAGTATCTTAGTACAATTTTGGCAGCCTGGAGTCTCGCTCTTCTTCCTGGAGTTCTGAGATCCTGAATTTGATGGTCATCTGACATTTTGCTAATTCTCAGTTGTCCAGTTTTGATATTGAGGGCATCAACTTAGCCAGTCAATTTTATTTTACCGACATAACTGCGGGATCCGTAACTCTGTTCTGCTATACAACCCTCGGGTACGAAGCCTTTTTCTAATAGTTTGAACTGAAACGTTCACATCTGTAACTGCCAGAAGTTGTCTTTGTAGCTTTGGATGAGAAACATTGCAATTTGGCTCACAAGGCGGTCTTGTTGTTCACTTGTGATTCTTTGACGACTTTGTCTGGGCCTGTTCTATGTGTTCCTAATTCCAAGTACCGTGCATATGTTTTCGATACAATACCCTGAGTAACGCCTACTATATTTGCTACGTCTCTATGGGGTATTCCTCGTTCAATGAGAGCAATAATTCTTCCCCTCTATACGTCAGTTGACCAACATAAGGCAATTTTTATTTCTTGGGTCGAATGAAAATTACCGGACAATCGTGATTTTACTACTGAACACAAAATTCAAAAGAGAATACATCACAGCAGTCGATTACTCTTTATTATCATGTTTATTTACAACAAAAAGCCTTATCTTAAACAGCGTACACACTATGCCAGAAACAACTCGAAACATGCCAAGGTCGCATTTCGTCGCCCAACTTTGACGCATTTCGATTTATTTCCAGTTGTCTTGGCCCACTTCGGTTTACCTCGACCTACTTTCGATTCTTAAAAGCGCCTGAAAACTACTCGTAAGGAGGGCGAGAGGGGATTTTTTTGCGTTTTTTGTTGCCTTGTTCAATTTTGTTTTGTTTTGAGCTATTTCCAAAACGTGGCGGTATCTGTACCGGAGGCAAAGGATTTTTTTGTCATAAATCTCAGTGAAATAAGTAAACCTAGACGTTTCTAAAATAGCTTGTTACGATGATATTTATTTAATTACATCTCGATTTATGTTATATTGATATATATTCCACAAAATTAATATTTGAATACGCGTTTATTATATGTATAGTCGATATATACAGGGTGTCTCAGATTTTAATCGGGAAAATTTAATAGACGATAGAACTTGTAAAAATAAAACAAAAAGTTCATATCAACTTGTAAGATTTAAAGCTTCCTTTTCGAGATACAGGGTATCATTAGAATAATAATTATAATATTAATTACCAATTAGAATTTAATTTTTTTCGCATGAAGTAAGCAAGATAGACAAAAAAGTCAGGAGACAAAAAAATAATATTTTTAATTACTAAATCCAAAAATAATATTAAACTTCTAAAAAAGCAGTGGCGTGCCTATTTTTTCCTTTAAAATAATTTAACAGTGATGCCCCACCGGCGCCCCTGGCAATGGCCAAGCTTAAATCTAATTACATCAAATTAAGTCCCATAGTAAGTATTATAAACTGTTCAAGTTATATCCAAATCGATCAAATAGTTTTTCAAATATCTTATTATTTTTTTCTTTTTTAAGTAACTTTAACACCCTGTATCTCGAAAAGGAAGCTTTAAATCTTACAAGTTGATATGAACTTATTGTTTTATTTTTGCAAGTTTTATCGTCTATTAAATTTTCCCGATTAAAATCTGACACCCTGTATATTAAGGAATAAAAGTTTTCACTTATACTGCAGGAATATAATTACAATATTTTTATGATTTAATTTTATTATAATGAATTAGTATATAAAATTGTATATTATGATATGTTTGTTTACGGCTTAATTGATTAATACAAGAGTTAGTTGCTTGATGAGTAATACTGGTAACGTTATCAATATATCCGCTTAGGAAAATTATTAATTGACCCGATGTCAACAAAAAATATGGTCCACGTACATTATTTAAAAGCAATGTTCTTTTATTGTTTCTAAGAGAAATTTGTAAAAGATACTGTTATTAGCACCCAGTATGGTTTGACATAAATCAATTCAACTAGTATTTATTATGCAGGGATTTAGACAATTAAAACCAGAAAAACAAAACCAAATTCGTTAAAGTTTTATATTTTTTTACTATATTTTAATTAATTATATTAGACAATGATTAAAACTAAATATTCTTTTGTAACCTTCGAGGAATAGCTAATTTAATTTACCATCGGTAATTGTCTTCATATCAGTTTTTCAAGACGCGCCGTGATTGGTTGTTTGTTTTTTATTGTTAATCTGGGTTAACAATAAAAAACAAATAACCAATCAATTTCGGGTCTCGCTCAATTTCAGGAAACGTGGGAACTAATTTTTATAACACGGGCATATATTTATCGTACTATTTTCAGAAATGTTTTGAGAAACGTTTCACAAAATATTTCCAGAAATATTTCGTAAAACATTTCGGGGATAGTGTAGCGGCTGTTTTAAAGTTGAATACCAATTTTTTTCCTTGTAAGAAATTTAGTCAGAAGTAAAGAGTGATTCCATATAAGTTTGGTTGTGGGTATGTTAAATAACCAACAGGTGAAGGAACATTAAAAATAATACATCGACTTACTTGCCAAACGATCTCCATCCTTATAGCACATAAATTCTTGCAGTTCGCTAACAATCGTTAGCGTTCTGTTGAAGGTTTTCTCCTCGGTTTCGCTCAAACATCTACGCACCTCGCTTGTAACATTCTCAACACATTCGTATATTTCCGGCCATTTTTTGCAGTACTTTGCGAACACAACATCCATTGATCCAGTTTTCTTCGCTTCTTCCAATTCCTCCTGGACTTGGGTAACGTTGACGTTCTCAGTAACGCAGTTTTTAATTTCTTCTTGTTTGTCCTGAGAACAAAAATTACTCTTGAATGAAAACAACTTTAAACATCAATGATTATTTCATTAATAAATAATAATATGAATATCAAAATTCAGTTAGATAATGTAATTAATAGGTTTATACAGGGTGTCAAAAAAATAGTGTAACTAACTTCGGTGGGTGATTCTACAGATAAAAATAAAACAAAAATTTCCTATGAACATATGCCCTAAAATGCTTCTTGAAGATGTGACAGCCCTGAAAAGGGTAAATAAAAATAATATACAGGGTGGTCCAAACTGTATTCCGGAAACTTCGGCAGCCTATTTTGCAGATAAAAATAAATAAAAAAGCTCTTATGAATGTATGCCCTCAAATGCTTAGTTTCGGAGATACAGGGTGTAGAAATTTCATTTTTATTTCGATTTTTTCCAAATAATTTCTGAAATAAAGTAAATATTTGGATGAAAATTGGTATCTGGTAGTTTTTTGACATGAGAAATTTGATTTTAATGTCAATATGACTCCCACTTGCAGAGGGCGCCAACTAGTTGACTAAATAGTTACTAGACTGAAATCATAAATTTGAAATGTTTTTGAGCCAAAGGTTCAACAGAAACTGTTTTTTTTTCGAAGAAGAAATTATGATTAATTTAAAAAAATATAATATAAAATATATAAATTTACCAAATTTATTATTTCAGTCAAATAACTATCTACTCGACGTGTTTATTTTTGTCAGTAATGACATGTATTGACTATTTCCATTCTAAATATCTTGAGAACGGTTACTCGTAGTGATTTTTACCGTATATTTTTTTAAAGAGACATTTTTAGGTAAAATGTCACGGTAATGTATATTTTTTTTGCTCACTACTTTTATACAGGTACGGATAAAAAGTTATTACTCTTCAAAACAGTTAAAACACATGTAGGTGGCGCCCCATATGGAGTCATATTGACATCAACATCCCAAATTTCTCATATCAAAAACTCTCAGACACCAATTTTCATCAAAATATTGACGTTACTTCAGAAATTATTTGGAAAAATCGAAATAAAATGAAACTTCTACATCCTGTACCTCAGAAACTAAGCATTTTAGGATATATATTTATACGAACTTTTTTACTTAAATCTATCTGCAGAATATGCTGCCGAAGTTTCCGGAATACAGTTCGGACCACCCTGTATTTTGTTTATTTTTAATAACATTGGTAAACTATTTTTCTTGTAATTTGGTACTCTTACACACATTTTAATGCCAAAGCGATAGTGTAAATTTCCGTAACAGCCCTAAAAGAGTACTTTCCATTAGGGTAGAGAGTACTACGTCGATTTTGACCATTGCGACCATTAGCGAAATCAGGAGAATAATTTATTTAAATTTAAACAAACGCTATGATCTTTCATTTTTTCCTTTATTGTCCTAATCTACCATCGATCGTAAAGTCCACCTTCTATATTAAATGAAATTAAATATATATTTATGCATCTACTAACAAGATTTGCACAGCGTTTTCTTCTAAATCTTATTATATTTAATTTAATAAGAGACACAGCTAAAATCTATTTTACTATTTTTCTAATACGAAATTCTAAATAATTAAATATAATTAATATAGAGTGTTCACATACATTTAAAAATAAGATATACATCATACCTACAGCATAGATTTTATGTTAAACGAGTTAAAACAACATATTAAGACATCTAACATGAAAAATACATATAATAATAAATAATAAATTAATGATAAAGAATAAAGAGAAATAGTACATATAATTAAATATTACTAAAAAAAGTAAATATAGTTAAAACAGTGGCAGCTCGTCAGGTGCAGTAGGTGAAGGGGCACTTCACCGAAAAAATACTCAAATTAAAGAAAAAACTTTACTGCTTAAAATATTAATTTAGTTTAATATATTTACATGTATCTAAATAATAAAATGGTAATTTTTTATAAGTTATTCATTTTTTTCGGGGCGGACCTCTGCATAATAGGTCCATCGCATCGTTAATTCCGGCCGAAAAAGTAGCATTATAGATTCGCACGCGCCTACAAGCCAGAAATGCAAGTGACAATGTTTCTATTTCTGGGCCAAGCGGCTGCACGGATTTCATGATAACGTGACGTCAGCCTAGTGGCAGATGTAAATCCCCCCGCCCCAAAGTTTATTATCGGCGACCGATGTGAATGAGTTTTTGGTTTTGGATAGTTCTCTTCGTCTTCCTTTTGTTCAGGAAATGCGTGACGGCGGCGCATAATTTTTGCATTTACGCTAATATTCGGCTACTTCGGCGAGTAATTAACCGTGTAAAGACTGTAAAGTTGTTGTTATTTATTATTGTTTGTTAATGGCTTCCGTTGATTTAAGTTGTCAATTAATGACTTGGTTTGCAATTTATTGGAAACTCCCTTCAGACGGTGGACAGATGAAAATAAGAGGGATGTTTTATCTCAAGGGCGACCAACTGAAACTTTAACCATAAGTTGCAAAAAAGAAATAAGAAAAAGTAGTAAATCTTATAATATAATATTAAATTTAAGTCTTCCTGGTTTGCTGATTTTAATTGGCTATATAGTAGTATTGTTTTACAAAAATTATTTTGTTGGTCGTGTTTACTATATATTTTCTAATAAACATGGCATTTGGAATAAAGAAGGGTTCACTGATTTCGTAAATATAACAAGATCTTTGTATAAACACGGGAATTCTGCAGAACATTTAAAATGTCAGTTAATGTTAAGAAATTAAAAAAAATCAAAATACAATAGCCGATGCTTTAGAAAAAAACGTTAGACTCTATAAGTCTAATTTTAATGAAAATGTTCGTTTAAATAGGCTTTAATAAATATAATTAATTAATTAAATGACGATATTACTGATAAGTTTGCATCAATAAAGTACAGAAAAATTGAGCTTATTTACAAAAATTAGTAAGGTTAGTAATATAAATAAATCAAATTTATTTTGGTTATTATTGCTTGGTAAACATTAATGTAATAATCATTAATGTAATAATTAAATAATAATTGAATGGCTCCTCGGTTGTAACCAACAATTTTTTTAATATCGAAATTTCAGTGAAAAAACCGAGGAAAAGAAGCTATACCTATGAAAATTACAACCTTATTTCACTGAAATCTCTATTTTGAAAAAATAATAAATAAATAATAAATTAAAGTATTAGAGTTTAAAAAAAACTTTTTGTGGCAATCAATTCCGCTTTAAAAACAACTTAAAATGCACCAAGTCAAAGTTGAAACATAATTTTGTTAGTCACTTTTTTTAAAATAATAATAATTTAACCAATTTTTAAAAATTTCTTTTAAATATTTTGTATTTGACAGCTCCCAGATGTTAGCTGTCAACTTTGGCTTGGTGCATTTTAAGTTGTTTTCAAAGCAGAAGTGATAGCCACAAAAAGATTTTTTAAAACTCTAATATAAAAAAAACGTACATATGGATCCAACTTTATGGTGGACACTGTATATAATGTTTATTATATTAAATTTAAGTAAATTTAATTATATTTTCACTGGAATGCAAAATAATGTGTTTATCGAAAAATGGTTGTATCTCTTTTTACTTAATGCATTTTAACCCAAATTAAAACGAAAATATTATAGGTATTAGTGTATAAATAATAACAAAAAAAATGTTGACAAAACGGTGAATGCAGCAAAAAATTTTTAAATATATTAAAAAATGTTGACAAAATGGTGAATGCGCCAAAATTTAAAAAATTAACTCTTCACCTAACTTTTTACCCACGAGCCGCCACTGAGTTAAAATAAAACTCATTGATGAACTTCCCATCTTAAGTACAAAGAATATTTTAATACCCTTATAAATAAAAATAAAATTATAATATTCTTTGCTGCTATTTGAAAGTGTTATTTTCTGTGCCCTAAATATGGAGTGTAGAGGTAAGGAGAAATAACTCCGTGTATTAAAAAATGGTCAAAAAAAGGGAAGAATTAGGATGGCGCTGCTGTAGCAAGATTCTAAAATTTAAGACATGCGCCGAACATTTTAGAACAGATGATTCAAGACATAAATATTTGACGTGAAGCAAACGCGAAGCCGCGGGTTTAAAAAAAATACAATTTTATTTTCATGTTGCATGAAATAAATTACAGATTTTTATTCAGCAGCAATAGACTAGGCCCTTTTTTTATTGTTTCTCATAACTTACTTCGCAAATGTCATTCAAGACGACGAAAAAATATTCTTATCGTTTTAGCTTAAAATTAATGGTAATTATAATTAAGACAAATTTTATTTAAAGTAATGATTGGTGATGGGTTTAAAATAAATATAATGCAGCTTTAAAATAACTTCATATCTACATTTATTTAGTATAAAAGTAAGTCAATATGTGGTTTTATTATTGATTATTCAGATATCAGAGCCTCTTTTTATTGTTTCTCATAAGTTATTTCGTAAATCTCATTCAAGATGAAAAGGCTTTAGTTTAAAATTAATGTTAATTATAATTAGAAAAACTTTATTAAAAGTTTAATTGATGATATGGGATTTAAATAAATATAATGCAGGTCAAAAATAACGTAACACATTTTCTGTAGTATAAAAATTAAGCCAGTATAATATAATTTTATACTGTACAAGTATTTATTTACGTTTTGCTCCATCGTAGTTGCCATTCATTCAAAATAGTGGATTTTAAATGTTCGATAGTCGGATGGCTTAACTACCTTAATATCAACTACTTCTAGACAAGAATCGTGTGCAGTATTATCTTCTTTTTCACTCCCAGCTATTCCAACATGGCTTGGGACGTGAAATAATAATATAATTTTATAGCCGTTCCAGATGCTCATGTCTTCCTTGTAGTTCACCCAATAGAATCGTTCTCGCAGCTTCCTCCCAAGTTGGTAGTTGCTATTCATTCAGAATAGTGGATTTTAAATATATTTGGTAGTCGGATGGTTTAACTATCGTAACAATAACTACTTTTAATAATTCTTTTTCTTAATTATTTGCACTATAATTTGCA